TGTGTAAAACAGGGGGAGGGGGGAGGTGTGCAAGACAACCTAGTTATTCCTCAGTAATATAGGCTTTCCACACATTTTTTTTCTGTCACCTACAAATCTCACTTCACTAGCTCACTAATTTCTCTCAATGCTGATATAAGGTGATTAATAATGATCTGAAACACATTTGCCCTACTCATAGGATCCTATGTGTGAAATAAAAGTTCAAAATCCCACCTCAGGAGTTTAATCTGCACAGCACTGCTTGCTTTGAGGAAAAATAGTGTAATGCGAGGTCTATAGAAATAAAGCACTTACAATATCAGTTACCTATTCCATCAGCAAAGTCAAAATATTTAAATGCCTCCCTAATTCTCCTGATTTTAATTACCTCACAAGTTCACTTTCATGTCAAAGTGTTCTCTGGTCCTAAACCTGTCTTAGTTTCTTGATTTGCATGCCTACGTACAAGGCGTTTACAAGAAAGACTATTAATACCCACTGAAGTGAAAAATACAACCACTGTCTCACTCACAAACGTGAGACCATTTTAGGTAAAAATGCCATGATCATCATCCAGCTAAGTTCCATGAGGGCAACGTTTTGTTTATTTCACTGCCAAAAATGGTATCTCGAACATAGTAGGTGCTCAGTAAATATTGAATGAATACTTCATGCCATACCCTATCGGGTAGCAGGAAACAGAGAAAAATAACAAGAATTTCAGACAAGAACTGTCTTCTATGCCTATTATGATCACTGTTATTTAAATATTAAATCAATGAAGCATACATGAGAAAAATGACTCTAGATACTTACATATACATGAGTTCTGAAGGTAAGATTTCATGTAGAAATCACTGAGTTCTCTAATGTAAAAGGGAAGTGTGTACTTGTATGAATGATTTTGATTTAATGAAGAGGGTAGGGAGAAGGAATATTTACATACAGAGCATTTCTCATTTCACATGGAGTAACTGAGTAAAAGGTACTATCAACTGAAATTTCATCGAATTCCAGAGCATACACCCTAAGTCCTAGGTTTTTCATTGCATTTTCTACCTATATGCCAATCACTTAAGTCACACTGAAAAACAGGCAATTAAATAAATGACTTGCAGTAGGATTTTACCCTGGGTTAGGATTATTCCCTGTGTATGGTAACTTCTGAAAACATTTTACCTGATGGTATTTAAGTAACGTTTTGTCAGTCTAATGCCATGCATGCAATGCAAATACATACTAGCAAACAGTCTTGAAGTTCAACCAAAAAAAAAAAAACAACAACAAAAAAACCCCATCCCATGCAAACTCAATGCCCTGCCTGCATACTGCAGATGTACTGTTTTCACAATGCACCCTGATGTTCAGAAGCCCACACAGGAATAATACCCATCATAACACTAAACTGCCAACAATGACGCTGCTGGCTGCTATGCACTGAATGGTCACTCTGTGCCAGGCACCTATCTACAAGATTATTACATGTGCTGTAGCCTTCAGTCCTGATGGCCAATCTGAGCATCAGGTACCACTATTACTTCGCCCATCTTGAGGTGAGAAAATTGAGGCTCACAGAGATAAAACAATTAGTCCAGGATCAAGTAAGAAAATGAGCCATGATTTAACTGCTGCCTGTGGATATCTTAAGAATTAAGACAACATTGCCTCTTTGAACTTTTATTTGCTTTACCTGATCACCTTCTGACAAAAAAAAAGCATAGTTTTCAAAATTAATTTTAATACCAATTAAATTTATACTCCAATATATAACCTGGTTTCTCTCCAAAAAGGGAAAATATATGACAATGTTCCTTCCCAATGAGGGATACTGGTCCTTCCCGCCTACAAACACGTTAACTTAGCAAGACTCTGACCCAGTTCCAGCTACGATCTTTATTGCTCTCCAGGCATCTTTTTTTTTTTTTCCTAAAATAGCCTGGAGCTCACGGTGGAAAAAGAACAAAACATTACCTACTAAAGCATGCCATCTAATTAAATTTATTAGCACCAATACCATATGTCAAAGCAAGTCAAGAAGTGCCTCATTTGTGAACCCAAGGATGACTGCAAGAATCTGTCTGCCCCTGATAGTTCAACGGGGAGGTGAGCTCCCCAGAGAATGATACCATGCTCATCCCCAGAGGATGTGGTGTACTGCCTCATCCCCAGAGCTAAGCCGTCGCCTGGGACTATGGAGTTTAGAGTCCAGCAGACGAGCAAAGCACAGGTTGGGGGTCACAGAGCTTGAGTTCCAACCCTGACCTTTACACTTACTATGTAAAGGTGGACAAGGTATTTTAACCTCTCCCATTTCTTCCTGGTAATGGGAACTAAAGTTTCTACCTTAAATGCATTACTACGATGGTTGCATGGGATGCTGTATGAGAAATGCTAACCCACGTCCTGGCATACAGTAGATGAATGACAGATGTAAAATTTCCTTCCTCCTCCTGAAGGAACTTCTTCACTGGTGTGTAATAGCTGACTCACACTGGCCACTGGCTTGCAAGAAATGACTGTTAAATTTTTGGGTACCCTGCAAGCCAGTTATTAAATATAGCCATCATTGAAAGTCGAATTATATTAACTTAAAATCAATCTTTTTGAAAACAAAGGTGATAAATACTCAAACCTCATCACTTCCTATTAGTTTACTTCATTTTACTGTTATCTGTGCTCCTGAGGTTATTTATGCCTACTGTCCACCAGGCAGTGGAAATACTGCATGACGGTGAGCGACAGCACTTCTCCCCCAACTCCACATTCACTGGCGTCACATCTGTAGCTTGAAATAAGCTACCAATGAGTTGTTCACATGGAAATTGGCAAACACAAGTCATGATTCCCTTGCTTTGGAAGCCAGTTATTCAACATTTACCAGCATACCACTGGGATTCATATTTCATCATATTCCTTCCTGCGCCAGCATCTTCCGTCTCTACTCTCTACAAGTTGTCCACATAGACACGTGTCCATCAAACTTAAAATAAAAAGGAAAACAAAACCTAACTCACGCCCCCAGCTTCCATCCTTTATACCCACTCCTTCATTGCCAAAGTTACCGGATATATACTATGTATGCTTAATTCCAACGCTTTTTACCATCATCTCATTAAGTGAGTCATTTAACAAATATTTGTGCAACTGTTAGCCACTGTGAAGGGAACTAGAAAGAGGGATGTGAGCAAAAATGAACATAGCCTCTGCCCTCAGGGGATTCACAGCCATACTTGTCTGGTTTGGTCCTGCCTTGAACATCTACCATTCTCTATTAATTCCTCTCTTTTCTCCTCCTTTGCCTCTTTAAAAAGAATTTATAATTCCCCCAAATGTTTATCTTCCTCTCCTCCATGGCCCTCCATATAAAAGTCAAGATTTCCTCAGTGTTTTGACTGTTTATCTCTCTTTCTTTCTAAAGAATTTCATGCATTACTGTGATTTTATCTTACCCCCAACCCTCAGAAAACTTATTTCTCCCTTTGACTTTCCATCTCAGTCACCGATGTGATAGTCCACCCAACTGTTTAAGCCAAAACCCCCAAAATCTTGTTTCCTTCCTTGCCCTTACCCCAAACATCAGCTAGTCATGGTGGATTTGTATCCAAAAGATATCCCAAACCCACCACATCTGTTCACTCCAGTCTCCATCATCCTCAGCCAACACGCTTCTTTCTCCCTTAGTCTGTAAAAAACTTCTTAACCCTTTTCTCTTCTTTATTCTTCTCCGCAGCATTATGGACCAAGGTGAACCAGAGTAGTTGATGTAATCATTTCTTACCACATTAAGATAAAAAAAAAAGAAGAAGAAGAAGAAGAAGCAGAACTCCACAGTCTCCCCATTCCACTCAGAATAAAATTAAAACTTGCTTCCACAGCTAATACCGCCCTTCTTTATCCGGGCCTTGCCCATGCCCTGACCTTGCCTTTCCAATCCCCACTTGCTCATTACCCCAAGCCTGGAACCCCCTGCCCAGATCTGTCCACGGCCAGCTCGTCTTCTCACTCGGGAGGATGCAGGAGGCCTTTTGTGACGACCAGTGCAAATTCGTCCTGGCCAGGCCCCCATCACTCTCCATCACATTGTTCACTCACTGTTGGTTATTTATTCAGTTCTGTCTTCTCCTACTAGAAAGGAGGTTTCGCAAGAGGAAAGTCCTCGTTTTCCCTATTCACCAGGATGCTTCTGGTACGTAGAATAGTGACTGGCACGTGAGAGTCACTCAATAGGTATTTTATTTAAAATAGATCTTTAATAAATGAATGAATGGAGCAAGATACAAAGGATATACAGGAAAAGGTGGGAATAATGGGAAACAAAGACCCTGAAAAAGAGGGAGTTTTCTAGAACTGAACAGAAAAATAAGAATAGCAATCTAAAGTAATAAAGTGCTAACAGTATGAATTGAATTTCCATCTTTATTAAATTCTGTCTTGCCCATGGCTTGAGCTATTTTTGAGGCAACCTAATTTAGTGAGCACCTGTTCTGATAAATCTATGCTAATTTTCATGGCTAGGTCAAAATATTTTTAAAACAAAAGAAAATCCCATACTTTAAAGATTTTCCTGCATCCTCAAAACATTTCAGAGAGGCAGAATCCCCTGGGCTTTCTCCCATACTTGCACTGTAATAAATTCTTATCACACACAAAGAGCAAGGAGCGGCAGCAGGCAGAGAGAGAGCTCTCCCTCCTCCCCCAGGAAACCAACGCAAGGTTCTTCCACCAGGAAAACAAGAAAATGTTCTTTATTGAGTCTTCACAGATCCACACCTCACCCCCTACTTCTAAACAACAGCGGATAGCCGGGCTTTTTCTAGCTACTTCTTTCTTATCTGGTCTAATACAGGAAAAGAAAGGGAGGAAGGGAGGGAGGAAGGGGAGGAAAGAGGGAGGCAGAGAAACAAGGAGAGAGGAGGAGGTCACAAAGAACCAACTCAGGACTTCAAGTTGTCCTATCAACTCACACGGGTGAAGCTGGATAGTGAAAACGCACACAGTCAAGGAGCCCAGCCCAGTACCTCATCATGGACCACACAGCTCGAGGAGACACCGGGAATCCACTGCTCTTGGGTTCTGGTGGCAATGGGGAGTGGCAGCCACTCCACGCTCCTCTGTGAGGGAACCGCTGCTGCCTCCCATTCTCCCGGAGCGGGTGCGCTGGCAGTGAGGAGGGCTGGGGGCTCCCAGGCTGCTGCGGGCTGCGCTGATGGATGACCCCATTGCTCCTAAACAAAGTCAAAGGGAATGACAAGGCTGGCAGCAAGAAATGGCCATCCCCTGTCCCACCCCAAAGTCTCATTTCTGGAAGCAACCAACCATTCTCAAGCGTTTTTTTTTCTCTTGTTTCTGGTATGAACCATAGTATTTTAAAAATAACATAGTTATATTTTTGATTTTAGGACTTATTATATTGACTCCCTAATATAGAAAACTAGGACTCAGTCTCTCTTACATGGTCACCAATACACACACACACACACACACACACACACACACACACCCCCTCTTTTTCACCCCTCATTCTCCAAATATATTTCTCTCACAATATTTGATTGAAGTGGTATTCAGTATTTGCATAATTATGATCTTGTAAAACACTGTTCATAGCTGATCCATAAAGTACTGTGCCTACATTTTTTTCATGAATCCTCTGAGATAGATAGATAGATAGATAGATAGATAGATAGATATTCATAACCACTGGATGAGAAAAACTTAAAAAGTCTGATTCTACCAAGTGATGATGAGAACATGCAGCAAAGGGATCCTGAGACACTGCTACAATCGTTTCAATAGCTATGTCTCAACATGCAACACCGTGAACATGAACCTACCTGTGGTCCCAGCAACCCCATCCCTGTGGTGTGCCCCAGAGAATCCCACAGGTATTTGCACAAGAAACTCCACTGCAGCATAGTTTATAATAGCAAAAATTGTGAAAATAACCTATTTCCCAAATCCATAAAAATGGTTTAGTAAACTGGGATAATTAAATACCATACAACAGTTAAAATGCATGAACTATAGCTATTTGTATCAACAGATAAAAATATTGTGCCTTGTAGCCTAATGTCAAATGAAAAGGAAAGCAAGTGATACCATTTATACAAAGTTTAAAAATATGTTAAGTAATACAATTTGGTATTGATTGGTATATACATATGAAGTAATGACATAAAAATAATCATAGAAATAAAAAGTACCAAATTCAGGATTGTGGTTACTTCTATAGAGAGAGGTTAGGAACTGGGATTAGGGAATGCTAGTCTCTGCTTGTTGGAAATTATATCCTAATTTTTAAAAAGTAAAGAGAAAAAGAAATCTAACTTTCAGGAGCTCATCTTTCACTAAAAATATTTCTTCCTAAAGGTAATGTCAAATAAAAGAAATTCCACTCCATTTTGTGGTCCACTTAAAATTTAGAAATAATTTGCTGTTCATATAGGAAAGAGCTTTCAACATTTACTTCTGTTACTGTTTCTTTCCCACTACCAAAAAAATCATACAAGGAAAGACCTCAAGAACAACCTAGTTCCAAGATATTTATTCTAAATGAGCAAATAAAGTGGGGGCTAGGTCCCTAAGAGTTTGTCCAAAACTGTGTGTGTACATTAATTTGGGAAAAGGGGACATAATTTGGTGAGATTCTCAAAGGGGTTATGACCCCCAGTAAATACACTCAGAACCTCTGAGCTGGTCTCACAGTACAAATGTGAGGCCAGTTCCCGAGCAGCAGGTGTTCTGGGAGGTCTCTAGGTCCTTGTGTTGTACTCCTTTCACAGAGGCAGGGGTGCTCAGAAGTGACTCTGTGACTCGGAGTCACAAAGACAGGGGTCCTAATCCTGGCTCCACTCAGGGTTGGGTGCCTCTGGAGAGGTTACTTTCTGTGCCTCTGTTTTCTCCTCTGTAAAATGAGGGCGACAATTGTGAGCATTGTGTGACATCATACCTGTAAATAGCCTAGCACACACAATGCCTGGCACATGGCCAGAACTCAAGAGCATAGTAACCATCATGGGCCAGGTCTCCCTGTTACATGCTCTGGGTTCCTTCTTACCACTTTCACAGCTGTAATCAGTTACTCATGTAATTACTTATGTAACGTCTGTCTCCTCCAGTATTACACATGCTCTTTGAGGGAAGGAATCTTACCTCTCAGGTACAGGATAAATATGTGTTGAATGGGAGGATAGAAGGATGAAGGTAAAAAAATGAATGTCTCCACTTACGCAGAGCTGCTGGTTTTGAGAGCTAGGTTACTTAAAGGAAGTCACAGAAATTCTGAACAATTTCTGAGCTACACATCAGCACGTTATTCCTTCCATAGAACTGCCAGCAGTTTATAATGGAGGTCAAAAAAGATGATTAAAAGAGTAAAAAATACAATTATCCCCTTTGAAAGCAGCCTGGCTTGCCCTGGCTATTGCGAATCAGTTGGTTGGGGCATTGTCCCGTAAACTGAAGGGTAGTGGTTTCAATTCCCTGTCAGGGCACATGCCTAGGTTGCAGGTTCGGTCCCTGTTCAGGGTGCGTGCCAGAGGCAACCAACTGATGTTTCTCTCTCACATCAATGTTTCTTTCCCTCTTTCTCTCCTTCCCCTCCCTCTTCCTAAAAATCAATAAGCATTTCCTCTGGTGAGCATTGTTAAAAAAGAAACCGGATGAAGAAGAACGAACTATAGGCAACACTGGGCTGAAGAGTCCCAAGACCACAGGAGACATGACTTCCATGATGGGGCTAAAAAGGCTCTGGACTGGACCAAAGGGGTAGGTCTGCAGCGAATTGTCGCATCTTTCTGCTGTCAGTAAGGCAAAGCAGAAAGAAGCTAGGAGGCAAAGAGAAAAAGGATGCAAGGAGAAAGGGAAGAAAGTGGGAAGCAAGAGAAGTTGATAGATTGTTCTCTTTAAAAAAAAAAAAAAGGTGAGCAATGCAATTACTCCCACCAGTTGAGAGGATATAGAGGAAAGTTGTTTTCATATTATTCTCATATAAGCAACGGGAGATCCTTGGGCTCACAGCTTTCTTGGTATGAGCTTAGGTCAAAGTGATGACTGGGTTCCTTCCGTTTACAGACCTCTGAAATTCACAGGGAGCCCGCAGAGCACTCAACTCTATTTAAATGATGTCCAAGTACACCTAGGCAGGAAGGTATTCAGAATTTAATGATTAATCTCAGCTTGTTGCCACTCAATAGTGCTGCTCTTATCTTTATATCAAGAAGTATAAAGAGATAGGGAATAGTATAAAAAGGCAGGATTTTTTTAAATAAAATTTTTCATTGGACGAGGCAGAAAAATAAATAACCACATTTTTTTATAAGTTCAAAAGTAAGACCATGAAATTTTCTGAAAAATGGAATCTGTATGTCATCAAATTGTTAGTAATTATGGATTTGACAGACGAAGAAAATTATAGTATGTGTTTGAACTTGCCTTAGTCATTCTTATCAGTTACAGTCCACAGGATAAAGCGAATGCGCCTTAAATTTTAAAAATGAAATTGGGCTACTAAATAACTTGTTCTTTGATTTGAATATGATGTGTAAGTATTCCTGTATGGTTGAGGCTGGCCCATTGTGAAATTTCAAAATGAGACTCCCAAAACTCTTAGATAACAACATTAACTCTAGAGCAGACTCCAAATTAGCACTGTTCTTTGGTGGCTAACACTCATTTTCACGCACAGATTCAAGGCAAGCTGTTAACAAATGGTTTCCACTAACAACCACTTCTCTGTGTGAATCAACATTTCTCAGTGGTTTGCAACCAGAATACACTGCTAATATAAACTTGCAAATAGCATAGGTACTTTTAAATTCCTAATTTGAGGCTCACAAAAATTTTATAGTCCCCACTGATTTTTATAAAAGCATGAAGAGATTGAACATACGTAATAGATTTCTCTTAATGAAATATGACTTGTTTATTATATTATGGTCTAAGGTAAAGATATCTTTAACAAAACTGGTATACTTTATTTTAATGAAAGTTTGAAAATCATTAATTTAAGTACTTCTCTGCACATGCACTGCTTGATATCAAGACATTCAAATGACTTACGATTTCTCTTGCTTGCACGATAAGGAAAAGAGATCATAAACCAAGCACACTCCAAACACTGTGATGCCTGTCTCTTTCACCAGCATTGCGCAGGTCCCCAGAAACAAACCAAGCAGCAAGAAGAAGGGAGAAGCCGTGGACGGGAAACAGTCCCCGACACAACACTGGTCCACACTCCTGAAAAACATGGTTGAGATTCTTCTCATCTAAGATGTACTACCTTTTGACAATAAGATCTAACATCAATTTCATTGTTTTCTAAGTACATAGCTGAGTTAAGATTTCTTCAAGAATAGAATCGTTGAAAATTATAAAGATAGAAAAAAGTAAATGCCTAATACTGATTCTGATACTTAAATTAAGGTATATGAAAATTATGATAAAACCTGGCAGATAATAAATGCACACTAAAAGGCCATTTAAAATGCTACCATAGAGATATACTTAGTGACATGGGAAGATGGTTACTAAGCCATACGCATGGACTTTGGAGCCAGATTTCCTGGGTTCAAATCCTTGTTCTGCACTTAATTAACAGGGTGATATGGGGCGGGTTACTTTGCCTCTCTGCCTCAGTTCCTGAATCTGTGAAATAGCATCACAGTGTTGGAGGGAAGATTCAATAAGTGATTTATTACATGTTAAGTATTTATCATCGTTATTACTTTAGCAAAGGTGTTTGATATGCTTTTGTACACAAAATAATTAGTGGAGATATACGAATATATATATATATCTCTCAAAACATAATCATTTCTCTGTGATGAAAATACAGGTGTTTTGCTTTTCTCTTTTTTTATGCTTAATCTGTATTTTTAAATTCATTTCCCATGAGGACATTATTAAAGGATATTTACTCAGTAGATTTCCAGCAGGAATTTTCAAGAATGCTCCAGCAATGTAAAGTCTTTTTTTATCTTACAAAACAGAATCAGCCCCACATGAAGAAGCATCTCTATTCCTTTGGCAGGCACCACACCCATGTGCTCCTACTCCTTTGAAGTAAAAGCCAACAATTCTGCTGCTCTGATGTCTTACCCTTACTCTTATGTCTTGGAGCAGTTGCATAAAATTATATGCTGAATTTGCAGTAGGTATGCATTCTTCAATGCTGGTCTACAGCCTAAACTGCTAAAGGTGAGAATGGTATCACAATAGAAACCTGTACTACTATGGCTCATTATCACATAGATATGGATACACTGAAGGTTTAATCATGTTCCTAAATATATCAACCACACAGAGAAAGCTCAGAAGAACATGTTTAACCTGGCTCTAATACCAGAGTAAACAAGAAACAATTATTGAATTTGGACTTATATTTTTAAGATTTTTTACACCTTTATACATGACTAGCAATGCAGTGGAAGGTCAAAAAGCCAGGTACTAGTACACAGAAAACTGGTACTATGCTAAAAGGCTCATCTCTTTACTAAAACTTCATAAGACAATTCATTTCAGTCTTGACCCAAAGTTTAAGTTGGTTTACAACAGGTTTCACAATTTCAGCACTACTGGCATTGTGGGGAAGAAGATTCTTTATTTTAAGGGCTGCTCTATACAGTAGAGGATCCTGGGTCTATCGAGCTGTGACAAGCGAAAATGTCTCCAGACATTGTCAAATGTTCCCTGGTGGAAGTAGGGGTAAATTTGCCACTGGTTTGGGACAGTGTTCCTCAGAGTCACTGGGCTTTGTGAGAGTATAGCGCAATGAACTGATCAAAGATCAAGGTTCACAAATCCTTACCCAGGCAGTTCTCCACGAAGAAGGACAACATGGTTCACTGGCCCCTTTTTCCCGGCCACGCCCTGAGTTCTCTGCCCCCACTTACATGTTCTCTTCAATCTGCCCCTTTCTCTATGTGATTATGTCACCACTCAGGTGAGAACCTGATCACACTGCAGGGAAAGCAGCAATTTAATAAAAAAAAAATGTTTTATTGAGTTTCAACCTCCCAAAGCAAGACACTTCGGTCTATTGATGAAAGGATATGTAAATTGGAAAACCACAGTTGAGACACACTGCTTTCAATTCAGCCTTGTTTTAAGCTCTGAGCTACTCTAATGAGGATGAGAAGGAAGCAAAAAAATAGGACCAAAATGAAAAGGAAAAATCAAACAAATCATAGGCAAATAAGAGAGAAGGTTACATTCCATGTATTTTGGCTCAGAGCTAAGATTCCAAATTCTACTCTCAGTAAGAAACTACAATTAAGAGAAATCAAGGAGCAAAAGCTTGTCTTCCTGGTACTGGGAGGGCAGTTCCTATAAAAGGTTATGACAGTGTTCAGAATGTAGTTGGAAGAGAGAACACCCTACCACTTGGTAAGCAGAAGATTTCCTATGCTAGGTCTCTGGGAACCTCTCTGAGCACTTCAGTGTCAAGAAACCTCCTTCCTCTCTCAGGCAGAGGCCCAGAGACCGCCTCCCACCCCCAACACACACACATACACACACACACACACACACATGCACGCATAGCAAAATTTCCCAAGGGACAGCATGACTGTAATCACAGAGAAGGACATTCTTCGCTATACCTACCTATTGTAGGAGAGAAAAGCCAACAGAAACAGCAGGCACGCCAACACATCAGCTCTGCCGACAATTCCAGCCACCTAGAATGTTTGAAAAATAAAAAATAAAAACCTAGAAAATTATTTCCAGCAAACTATTCATTTATGTATTCAGAAATGTATTCATTTATGTAGGGTATTCATTTATGTAGGGTACAATAAAGTGGGAAACACGCCGTTCTTCACATTCTGATACATGACTCACTACCTCTGGTTATCACTTATGTTTAATAATATGTTTATAGAAGGAGAAAAAGAGTAAGGAAGGGGCAAGATTTTCATGTTTAATTTCATTTTTAACCTTTCTTCTATAGGTTAATTCACAGCACCCAAATTTATTCATTTATTGGTTTATTCAAAAATATTTTTTGAGCAATGAGAGAGTGCAGGACACGGTGCTAGTCTTTGGGCCCTGGAATACTAACAGAGCAGAGGATATTTATACAGCAGTAGAGAAAATCAGTTGAGGAATCAATAATTCTGACAAGAATGGGAATGAGTGTGAACCCATTGTTGCCGTTTCTAAGTGTATGCGCATGTGTGTATTTCTTAGTTCTGTCGCTGAAAGGACCTAGAAGCAAATACCTCCGCGACAGAGAGCCCTCCCGGAACTAACAGAGAACCAGTCCTCCTTTACAGAGAACACGGACTGCAGGGCTGAGGCTGGGGAGTTAAAGAGAAGATTGATCATCATCTCATGATAGAAAGGAAGGAAGTGTTCAAAATACGACAGGTACATGTCAAAAGGACATAGAAGTCAGTGACTAGCCACTGACCAAATATGAGACAATTTGAACATCGAAATAAATAAGGACATTAAAAATTAGAAACCATTCAAAAAAGACATTCGAGAGTACATACTGACAATAAATACATAGATAGATGGATGGATGAATACATGCATAAGTACTTATATGCATACAGTAAGCAAGTGAATGGAAAAGAATGGACAGCTCTTCCATACATTAAAACTCCAGTTAATGAATGTAGAGGGAGTAGTGCAGTTGGAAAATAGCCATTTCCCTTCTTTATGTGAGTAAAGAGTAGTTCGATCAACAAACATCACAAAATATCCATGCATGTTAAACCTAAGCTATGAAAGTTTAATGAGGCATGGGATATTTGCAGGGTTTCAAAGCATTTCCTCACTGATTAATTATTAGCTGAAAAAAAATTTTTAAATAGTTATGCAATGGAGAAAATGTGTTATATTGCATTACATCTTGACTGGAGGATAGAACAACCTCATCAGTAAAGGGAAAGGACATGGCATGCCTCTGTATGTGATACCCTGAAGGACACATCACTTGTATAGTATGCCAGTCAGGAATGCATAACCTGAATATAATCATGAGAAATCACAGGACAACTCATGATGAGATCACTCTTATAAAATATAAATTAGTATATATTTTCTAGTAATAAAGTATAAAAATATAGTAATTCTATATTATTATATAACATTAAATTTATATTTTAATATCTTATAATTTATATTATAGTATATCTTGATTTACTAATTATGTCACAGCTCATTATAATCTAATACATCATAATATAGTATTGCATACAATATTATGCAATACATATATATGTAATATATAATATGTTATATATTACAGGTATATGTTGTATTTAAATAATATACTATATATGCATATATTATGTATTTATATTTTATATATTTTATTTTTATGTTTCTACATTATGTATTACATAATATATTTCTATTTTTATATATTATAAAATTTAATATACTATACATTTGAATACTATATTAAATATTATAAAATATAATATGTAGTATGTATTATATATTTATAGTTTAATTATGTAATATAATATATAACATGAATTTCAAAGTTATAAAAAATATGTTACTAACATTTTGTTATATACCTTCTCACATAAATTTTAAATTATATTTCAAGCTATATATTATATTACAGAAAGACATAAAGACTAGTAGCTATTCCAAACTTAAGGAGACTAAAGAGAAATGATAACTAATGGCCTTAGTTTTAGAATATACAACTAAATTATTAAGTGTAAGGGCACATGAATTATGCAACCTGCTCTCAAATGCTTCAAAAAACAGTATTTTTATACGTTGAGAAAGAAAGAGAGGAAGAATGAGAAAGCAAATGTGGCAACTTTTGAAAAATTGGTGAAGTTAGAGAAAGGGTATATGGTCATTGCATTTTTTTAAGTTTGACATTTTTTTAAAAATGTGTTATTCAAGAAAGGGCCAAAATGGAATAGAGGTGGGGACAGAGGGCTATTTATAAACCTTTGTATTCTTGTACTATTTAACATGTATGTGAATTTCTCTTATTTTTTTTTAAATCCAAGAAGGAAAACTGTAAAGGAGGAAAATGGAGTATGATCCAAAGAACGCTTCCAAGAAAAGGTCACATATGATCTAGATCTTGAGGAGGAGTTCACAAGGGAAATGAACTGGGTTAACATTTCAGCACAGAAAATGGCATCGCACAAATCACACAGGACCTAAAGCCACAGAGTATTAGAGACTGAATCAACAATTCATAACAAAAAATTATTTTCTGGGAAATATTCCTATAAATATCCTCATATAATGAGCACACTGTGCAGTCATAAGGGAGAAGCAATGACACGCACATGGAGCTAGACCATCCTACGCTTGAATATAGGCTCCTCTTGCTATTTGAGTGAGACTCAATTTTGCTATGTTTAACTTCTTAGATTTGGTTTTGTTACCTTCAAAATGGATACAACACCCCTATCTCATATTACAGTTGTAATTAATGATACGATATATATAAAGTATCCACTTAACATCGGTGCCTTTCTTCCTTTTCCCTGCAGAGAAATGGGGTAAAACTCTTGGCACTGAGACAGGATGTTCCATGTAGATTATGGAAATCATCTTTTTATCTTAAGGGTTACATATACGATGTTTTCATTTAACTTTATTAGATAATATATCTATTAGTTAAAATAGAAATAAAAGTAATTAAATTACATGCCTACATATAGATTGATAGCAAGTCACATATTGAGAAAAATTCTAGTTCAGTTTATATCAAGAGACACCTGGATGTGGTCAAATAATTTCTTTTTTTTTTTTAATTTATAAATCATGTTTATTCTATTACAGTTGTCTCTATTTTTAAATAATTTCATTGGCAGTACAGAGTTGACAGCTATTATTCAATGTGGCTGCTACGACCGCACTCTGTTCGTTGACCTGTTAATCTATGACAAATTTGAGTGCCAAATTAGGAAGACTGCATGACTCAAGAGAGGTAGGCAGTGACAATGTGGTGTCACCTCGGTGTCAAGGCTCAGCTCAAACTCACTGTCTGTAAGGTAACATTTAGTTGCACATGGTTCACCTGTGAAGCCCAAATCTGCTCGGTGTATACCACCAACCTCTGTGAGCACTGAGCTCAACATCAACTATAAGGTCTTCTGAGGGTTAAATAGAGAGCCCAGCTTGCCAGCAACAAAGTCTTGGGACAAGGCCAGGCATCTGGGCCCAGAGGGACACCCATCACAGCACAACTAATGTGGCCAACTCAAACAACAGCAAGACTTGCAAGCTGATATTGGGTGTAGCAGGCTGGAATGAGGCAATCATAAGCTAGGCGAGCATAACTAATGCATTAAAGGCACCTGAAGCCCTGCTTCTCGAATTGCAGCCTGTTAGTGCTGCTGGGAAACAGCAGCAGCAGAATATGCCAGCTGGATGTGTCCCCATAAAAAGAATGCAGTGTCCCTTGGAGGAGAAGGTTGGGAGGTGTAACAATGTTAGTGCTAAACACCAATAGACTTTGTCGCCAACTTCAAACCATCAAGCATTCTCTGAACATCCACTCTATATTTGTGCTGAGTTAGGGTCCTGTCAGCAACTACTATATGCCTACACTAGCCATTCACTGTGATTCAATTAGTTAATAGGATCATATTCAGTAATTGCGTGGCTTATTCCAGTCAACAAACATTTTCCAAGTGCCTCCTATTTGCCAGGTATTATGCAAGCTGGAGGGATATATCCTGCCTCAAGGAGTTTAACATCTGGAAAGGAGTCAAAGGAATATATTAATATGATAGAGGGAAACTGCATGTCTCATAAAGAGGAGAAATCACTGCCATGGGAAGACTAAAGGAATAAATTTTGATGTAAGGATCTGGGAAGGCTTCATGAAAAGGCTGGCCTTATACACTGAAACAAAGGACAGGCCAAGGAACACATTAGGAAGCTCATGATAGGGGAATATGTATCCTGGGCTAGAGAGGGAATGAGGAAGCATTCTAGGCAGAGGAAAGGGGAGTCAGAAAACATACAGGGTGGGTCTGGAAGGGAAGGCATAACGGAATGAAAGCATGGAGTAAAGGAAAAGGAGGCAAGAGTGGGCAACGGGAAGCAAAGATAGAATTTAAACTGGAGCCCTTTGGGCTTGATTCTGTGACAATGTCAGCTGAACGTAGGGTACTGGGAAGTACAAAAGGACTTGCTCAAAAATACATGCAAATGGACAGCGTGTATTTCTGCTTCATGCTGCAGGTTTTCATCTCCAAGGGGGTAGTTATAACCTGAGAATAGTATCCGTTAAATATTCAAACAGTGGAAAAACAGGTGATTTGGGTAGAATTGAAATAATATGACATTCAGATCTCTGAGCAAGCTTAACAGAATCATGTGGAAATTGCCAATTAAGGACTTAATTTCCTCCCAAAACTTATTACTTCTTGGAATACCACTCATAGGATTTGTATAAAGTTATTAATCATTTTATCTGCAAGGATGAGTTCCATTAGCGTCAGACAGAGCCCAAACACACATTTAATCCGACGCAGCAGCTAAAGGCCAGACCAGCTGATTAGATCATGACAGTTCTCTATTGCATGCTCTTGTTCCAGTTCTAGAAAAGTTGACCTTAACTTCCACCTTGCTATATCAGCATTTCCTGCTCATGCTTTTAACTAAAGTGCATTCCTTCAAACCAGTAATGTCTCTACAATGATTAAGTTTGAATTCTCATAGGAGATTACAATAATTTTTCCCATTTTTCCCAATTACTGATTTTTCTTATAATTTCCTAAGAAATATACTGTCAGGAAACTCTTCCAAGAATTGCAAAGCCTTAAATGAAGAAAGGTCTGAGTTTATCTTATTCATCAGTATATCCCTGCACTGAGGACTGCATTCCAGTCTCTCAAATGTTTGTTGAAAAATTGAGTAAATACAAGGGGGTGGGGCAAAAAAATGGAATTTACTTATAAAAAATAATGTATCTATTCTTACATGTTTAAATTTCAGTCACCTTCAAAGTACTATCCATTTGATGCAATACACCCATCGAGACTTTGTTTTCCACTGTTCAAAACAGTTTTGATTTCACTGACTTTGATGCCTTTCAGTGCCTCTGCCGTTTTTTGTTTCACCTCTTCCACATCAGCTAAACATTTCTGTTTTGAGGGGGGTTCCCCCTCATAAATGAATATGTTCCTGTCTAGTTAAATTGAAATATTGGGATGGCCTAAAAGTTCATTTGTGTTTTTCTATAAGATGGCTCTCATAGCACTTAGTTGTCTTTAATTTCCTTCAAATCAATTTTATTAGACTGCATTGTGACAGCTGTCATATCAGCGAGTATTTAAAAAAACTTATCAAAACTGGTGAGTTTTTTTATGTAGCCATTTTAATATTGAAGATGGAAGAAAATAAGTGACATTTTCAGAATATTATGCTTTATTATTTCAAGAAAGGTAAAAACACAACAGAAATGCAAAAAACAAAATTTCTTCAGTGTACGGAGAAGGTGCTGTGACTGATCAAACAAGTTACAGTGGTTTGCAAATTTCATTCTGGAGATTTCTCGCTGGACAATGATGTTACATGGTTGGGTAGACCAGCTGAAGTTGATTGCAACCAAATCATGACATTAACTAAGAACAATCAACACAATACCATGTGACAGATAACTGACATACTCAAAATATCCAAATCAATAAAGTTAATGGTGAAAATTAAAAATTTGTCTTTTATTTTATGGGAAAAACCATACAGATTTTTTGACCAACCCAATAATTTTTTTTCTCTGCTGGCAGTCATGTTTTATTACAACATATTTCCGGATCTTCTCTGAATTTAGGTGTATGTGCTTTGGCTTTTCTAGGAGACTGCAAACAAATTGTGTATAGGGATCTTGCTCTCTACCCACATGTTCTGTTGGCACCCAGCAAGTACTCATTAACTATTTCTGATGACACAATTAATAAATCAAATCTTTAGTCATATCAACGTGTTTAAATATAATAATATCAGCATGTTTAAATTAAACCTCTTCCCTTCCAAATTTAAATCCTTCCTGAGATAATTTATGGTCCCATTTTTGTTTACTTAACAAAGTAGAGATATCTCCCACTAATCTCCTCTCCCACACACTATGTTCTATGTTTCTTTTTTAATATAATTTATCACTATGTCTTTTATAAAGCACATCTCCTTTTTCTAGTTCTCTGCCCTTCTCCTTAGAAGCCTGAACTAATATCTATAATTAAATAACAGTCTCTTGATTTTACTTCCTAGTATAGATTGTTATGTAGGTCAAATTTGTCTCCTTTTTACACCTCCCTCATCTCCTTATGAATGCAAATAGTTTTTCTAACACTTTTCCCTAAATAAATGCCCAACCCTTAGACTCTTCTACTCATATAATTGTGTTGCCATGGGTTTTTCATTTTTGGGGTTTTTTTTTGTCCAATTGGTACAAAAGCTTGCTGAAACCCTTTCTTAAAGGTCATTTTGCTAACGCGAGTTTCCTTTTTTATTTAGAGTTCAACCTAACTTTATCAGCCCATGATCACACTGCCAAAGGTTACCTGCATTTTATGTTCTACTCTGCAAGCTTAGAATTAGGAGCGTTATTGTCCTACACATTTGTCCGTTACTGCAAAAATTTTCCCCAAGACATTGTAAGCACAGATTTTCAACTTTACTTTAAAAATTATTTGTCAGAAATGTAATAAATATTATCACCCTGGCCACGTAGCTCAGTTGGTTGGAGCATTGTCCTGTACACCAAAAGGTTGAAGGTTCAACCCCCAGTCAGAGCACATAACTACGTTGTGGGTTCAATCCCCAATGGGGGTGCTCACGGAAAGCAGATAGATGTTTCTCTCTCTCTCCCTCCCTATCTCTCTCTCTCTCTCTCTCACTCTCTCTCTCTCTCTCAAAATCAATATCATATCCTCAGGTGAGAATTTTTTTTAAATGATTAAAAAATTGCTTTGGACCATCATCATATACAGGGTGGAGCAAAACTAGGTTTACAGTTTTAAGTACGTGAAACACAGAGTTTGTATTATTTTCTGTACAAACAACTGTAAACCTACTTTTGCTCCACCCTGTATTCTACATGGCGAAGTATTAGCCCTTGATTAGTATTTCTCTCACATTACAGCCAAAAAGAATATTAAAAAGTTATGTTATCTCTTTCATCTTTAAAAATTCATATCAAAATCTTTCATCATAATTTTAGATACTAGAAAAAAATCTAATTTCCTATGCATTGTAAATATTGATATTTTAAAATAAGGCTATAATGTTACTGTTTTAAATGTACCAAAAGGAATCTGAAATATACCATAGCATTTTGAAACTCATCATTTTCAATTTAAACACCAACAGGCTCTCTTTAAATAGTAGACATTTGCACCCTTCCATTTGAACTCACAGTTCCATTTTATTTCCCCTGAGCATTTTTCTTACTGTATTATATAGTTATGCTTAAAAATACATCTATTTTATCATTTCTCCCTGTGACAGAATATACATACAATTTAATGTTTTTAAAATTTTCTGTGACCCTATGTTTGTGTTATTCTTAATTTTGTATTATTTTTTCTAATTAGCATTAACATGTAATGGTTCAGTACCTCACAAATAAATTATAAAAATGATGAAAATTATCAAACATAAAGATACATCTTTAAGTAACAGATGCAGTAACCCTCTCTTCAATAAGTTCGGTGTTCTATGGCTGAATACCACCTTTTGTTAGAATACGGAAGCATGCCGCATCAGTTCAGGACGTAGCTTTCATCTTTTTAGATGGTTCACAGAAATGGGAGTAGAACTAGCCATGTTATGACAGTGACATAATTCTCTGAACACCAAAGTTATCTGCAAAAATCATAGTGACCTATCATTTTACATACTGTTTAATGATCTACTAGCCGACAACTCAGTCGGGTCCTCGTTTATTTGGCTGAAAGCAAATAATTTAAGCACACCCAGCACTGGAGGTACCTGTCATTAGAGCCATTCGCTTTCATAGTTTCTCAGAAGTACAGAAAAAAGGCTTTGCCCAGACTTTTCAAAGGACTATTACTTATGCCTCACAGTCTTCCACTTAGAGGCAACTTGTTCAGTCTAAGATATTCAGAAAGGGCTGGAAAACTCACCTTTAATAATGTAATATTTTAATAAAATGACTTTTTTCCCTTAATCACTCTAAATACATTTTTTGTCAAAACCTTGGGCTTACAGAGTTAGAATTTTGTTTGTGGAAAGTGTCCATCTTACAGCCTAAAACCAGTCCTCATCATCAAACCAATTGGCCAAATCAAATTTCTTATGTCAGTTCAAATGAACACATTATTATGCATCCCCATGACAGCCACCTCACTTCTGAATTCAGAACTTCAACACAGGCTGCCATGCCCTCCTCCCAATGCCATGCTCTATTCTTCACAGGATTTGTATTTTATAAGACAGAAAGATAAGAAGCCTTACTTTGGGCTTATGATGCCTTAATTGAAGGGGATTTTGCTGACAATAATATATCAAATTGTTTGTTGCTTTAAGAAAAAGAAAGAAACATCAATGTGTTGTTTCACTTACATATGCACTCATTGGTTGACTCTTGTACATGTCCTGACCAAGGCCAAATCACAACCTTGGCGTATTGGGAGGAGCTACTCTAACCAACTGAGCTACCTGCCCAGGGCTCAAATTGTTTCTTTGTAAGTGCCTTGGCAGTTTGTGCACCTGGTGCATAGTAAATTTCTGATGTACGGGAGACATTTCTTCTTCTTCTTCTTTTTTAAATTAGTGAAGAGCAATTGAAAGGGGAAGAGGGAAAGGAGAATTGACTTAACACCTTTACCCCAGGTGTGTTCTCAGGCAGATTAACTTTAGGAAAAGTGTCCAGATGCAAGTTGAGGCTCTAGAAACACTTGTTTTAAAACTGGGGTGCCCATGTCTTCCTTGGAAAGTCTTCATCTACCCCTAGCAATAAATATAAAATAAAGCAACTATAGCCATTGAGATGTGAAACAAGGTAACTTGATAATGCCATCTTGGGGCATGATTAAATCAGTATTTTAAAGAGAACCAGAGATCTAAGCTTTTTAACTTTATAAATGCATTTCTCATCTTCCACAAAATAATGACACTTCAAATTGGATAATTTGAAAAACTATGGGTTAGTCTCCTAAGTCTGTCTTTCTAACTTGAATGTCAGTCTAACTTTTTATAACCCTTCTCCCAACACTTACAGTTATGCATTGTAAATATTACAAATATAAAGCAGAGTGAGAAAAGGTAAGATATAAATGTAGAGCAGTAACAATGACTCAGCATGATAAGTATCTCAAAATTTCCCTTGCTGTTTAAAGTGCATTAGGGCTTAAATTTCCTGTAAATAAAAAAGGGTGGCCATTCATTACTATCTGTAATAATAACAGTCGTTATTTTAGAAAGCAATTAAATCCTGGAGGTGCAATAAAGACCATTTGAACACTCAAAAAGAAAAGTTGTCAAGCAGAATGATTTATATATAAAGATAAACACCTTAGTAGAGCCTTAAATTAAGACGGTTTTGAAAGGAAATAAAAAGATCAGTTTAGCTTTTTTTTGTTCTGATTTCATTGACTTCCACTGACACTTACCGCCTCAGTATGAATTGGATGCACAGCAAAAAGCAACGCCGTAACAAAAGCAAGTCCACGATTCTTGAAGACAGTTTTGTCACACGTGTACATCAGCACAAGAGTCACTAGGCAGTGCAAAATTACATTTACTGCATGAAAGTAAAATGGGTTCATGCCAGTCAAAAATATGTTTAGCCTGTAACAAAAAGACAAAAACAATTAGCTACAAACATACATAAGCACAAAGAAATCAGAGAGAATCCAACATCTTAAAAAGTAAGCTTATTCAAATAATTACTTTTACTTATTTTTTTTTAAATTTTAAAAGATTTTATTTGTTTTTAGAGAGGGGAAAAGAGGGAGAAAGAGAGAGAGAGAAACATCCATGTGTGGTTGCCTCTTGTGCACCTACTACTGGGGACCTGGCCCGCAACCCGTGCATGTGCCCTGACTGGGAATTGAACCAGCAACCATTTGGTTCGCAGGCTTGCATTCAGTCCACTGAGCCATAGCAGCTAGATCTCAAATAATTATTTTTAAATGAGTCCCAACCTCAGGCTCCTCAACATATTTGAGGATCACTTTTTTCCTATCTCTGAATTTCCCTGTCTGCAGCAATCATGGCAAATATAACACAATATTATTTCAGAAAACTTTGTGATCTCACTGAGAGGGTGGGCTGATGGATGAACTTATTTCCCTCTTCATGGCTAATGTAAACACACCGGTAACACTCTTGCTTCACTGCAGGTACTTCCTAAGCAGCTGAGTGTTCAAAGGCAAGTCCACAGTGCCGTAAGTCAGAGCCACAGCCAGTGGAGATAAGAAAGACACCACAGGAGTGTGACTGTGGTCACAGCTGGAACAAAACCAGACATAAAGGTGTTCTCTCCCATGGGGCCACAGGAACCAAATTTCCAGATTATGCACCAGAAACCAGCATTACTCGCCACCCCACATGCTATTTCCAGCTGCAGCTGAATTGAAAAGTATGAGCAAAAGCATAGCATTTCCTGCTGTTGCAAAGGGTGACAGTGTCTTCCTTTTTTATGGCCAAGTAGTATTCTTTTGTGTATATGTACCAGAGTTGGTTTATCCACTTATCTACTAATGGACACTTGGGCTGCTTCCATATCTTGGCTATTATAAATAACACTTCAATGAACATGGGTTGCTTATGTTCTCTCGAATGTTTTGGGTTTCTTCAAATACATTCTCAGCAGTGGGGTTGCTAAATCAAAAGGCACATCCATCTTTAATTTTTGGAGGTCTCTCCATACTGTTTTCCAAAGCGGCTGCATCAATCTGCATTCCCACCAACAGTGCAAAAGGGTTCCCCTTTCTCCATATCCTCGCCAGCACTTGTTCGTTGACTTAGTGATGATATAGCCATTCTGACTGGTGTGAGGCAATATCTCATTGTAGTTTTAATTTGCACAATTGGAGCATATTATGCTAAGTGAAATAAGACAGACAAAGACAAATACCATGTGATTTCATTCATATGTGGAATCTAATGAACACACTGAACTAACAAGGAAAATAGAGACAGACTTATAGAGAGCAGGCTGACAGCTCTAGGGGTTAAGGATGGAGGGATTGAGCAAAAAGGAAAAAGAACTCATAGACGTGGACAGGAGTGTGATGACTGAGGGGTTAGAGGTGTAAGGAGGATAAATGGTAATGGAAAAATAGATTAAAAAATAAAATTAAATTAAATTAAATTAAAAAACAAAATAAAATAAAGGGGGGAAAAGCATAGCATTTCAGGATTTGTATTAAATGTTTCCTAACATAAACTCCCACAGATCTCAGAATTTGAATTCCAAGATCATGAAAAAAAAAAAGAGAGAGAGAACCACAATGAGAAGGGGAATTTACTGTTCAACATCTTAAAAAATACTTTCCTGAGATAGAAATGCAGAATGGAGAGACTTTAAAAGGTTGCCTTAAATTTAACAGCAGAGCATAATGTCCCCAACTGATTCTGCAGGGTTAGAGACAAAGTCTTACAGGGTATGGTTCCTTTGTGAGGGGGGCGCATACACCCTAAGTGGTATTGCCCATAGTTGTCTATATGTCAAGAAATTTCTCCAAAACAGCAATCTCATGTCTTTATTTTCCTGTCCTTGACCGGCTTCTTACAGAAGCACATCCTCCTTGCCAAAGCAATCCTGAATGTGAACGTTAATGTTAGTGATGACACACGCATATTCTAAATATTGAATTTGATGCACGTGCAGCTTTAACCTACAGAAATTTAAACATTTCAAGCTTTATTTGGACGCATGAATCTAAATGTCATAGTTACTAATCGACTCCGTTTTCATTCCCACTGAAGTAATCGTGGTCCTAACTAAGCTTAGAAAAATGAATTGCTGCATGGGATCTATGTACAGGGCTCTGACGCCAGCCGCGCTGGCAGACCCATGAGTCCGCACACCCCTCAGAATCCCTAAGACAGGAGCCCGGTGTGAAATAACTCACCCAAAGAGAAAGAGGAACCAGCAGTGAACTAGGGGGCTGTCAGGTGCAACTGAAAAAGGGACAACAGTGTCCCATGACAATATAAGAGAACCCACACATGGCGAGAGAGCTGCTGGAAATCAGAAAGCCAGGGATGGAGGAGCTGTGACGGGCGAAACCAAGTCCCCATCCTCAGACAACTCAGGTGCAATTCCCTAAGAGCCCAGCCTCCTGAGGTAGATTATACACTGTTTTCACGTCATCAGGCTGAGATTTCCAAACCAACTAAGCCATTAACTTAACATTCATGAAGAACTGCGAGTTTGCGAGAAAACAGGCCATCTCACATTCGGTTAGGGCATTTCCAAACTGGAGCAGGGATGTCCAACTTTTGGTGTCCTTGGGACACACTGGAAGAAGAAGAGGTGTCTTGGGCCACACATTAAATACACAAACACTAAGGAAAACTGATGAGCAAAGGTTTTAAGTGAATTTATGATTTTGTGTTGGGCTGCATTCATAGCCATCCTGGGCCGCAGACAGTCCATGAGATATGGGTTGGACACCCCTGGTTGTCACTATGTACCAAAGGCTTTAAAAAATACATACCCTTTGACCAAAACTTCCACTTCCAGAAATTCTCCATAAAGAAATAACCAGAAAAGTATTTAAGTATACATATACACATATATGTAATATTATGACATAATAAGAAATATATACTTTGTTCTTCATCCTGACTCCTGGTCAGAGATTCGAAAACCTTTATCATTTCCTAGGCAAAAAAGGTGCTAGGAGCATCTTTTGTTCCAACATTTGGTCTCTGTCCCTGGTTCCTGGCACAGAGCTCCTAAAACCCTTGTAACTTCCTAAGTGATAGGAGCACTAGGAGCATCTTTTGTTGCAATGTTTGGTCTCTGCCCTGGTTCTTGACACAGAGGTCCTAAATCCCTGGAATTCCTTGGGTGACAGGCATGTCTTTTATTCTAAGGTGACCCTTGATCGACTCCTGGATAGCTTCAAGATTGGGGCTGGTCACCAGAAAGACCAAGCCATGATTAGATTGGAAATTTCAGCCCTACACCCCATCCTCCAGGATAGCAAGAGGGGTTGGAGATAGAGTTAATAATTAATTATGTCTACATGATGGAGCTTCCATAAGAATCCCTGAACTACAGGGTTCAGAGAGCTTCCAGGCTGGTGAATGCATCCAAATGACAAGAGGGTCCAGCACCCCAACTCGAAGGAGACAGATTCTTTTGTGCTTTGGACTCTCCAGAACTTACCCAATGTACCTTTTCATCTGGTTGTTTACCCTCTATCATACCCTTTGTTATATAATTAACAGTAAACATAAGTGTCTCCCTGAGTTCTGTGAGCCATCATAGGGAGTTATTTATTGAACCTGAGGAGTAGCCATGGGAATTCCCGATTCATAGGCAAGTTGAACAAAATATAAGTAACCTAAGGACCCAATACTTACGGGTGACATTGATATGGGCGCAGTGTTGTGGGACTGAGCCATTAATCTGGGGGATCTGAGGCTAATTTCAGATAGACAGTGTCAGAATTAAATTGAAATGTTGTACACTCAGCTGGTGTCAGAGAATTGGTCAGTGTGTTGGAGTAAACCAACATACCTTGTGTCAGAAGTATTGTGTGAGTAGAGGAAGAAATAGTAGTATTCTTTTCAATGTACAAGGACACATCTCACTGTTAGTTATAAAAATGGCGATGAAGAGAAAGCAAGGCATCTAATAAGCCAAATTCCTGATGTGTCTAACTATTCCCTCTGATCATACTGTAGATCATAACTTGGGATTACAAAAAACTGCACTGGTTTTAAAAGAGGGACAAGAGGCTTGTTATTTTTCTAAAGTATTCGTTATCCAACCATTTAAAAAGTAAAAAAAGTATCATTAAAGGTAGTGTTATTATTACTATATCACCACACTTTTATGGGTTACTTAAAATAGAGTCCCTTCCTGTTCTAAAAATGACATAAAATGGTAGGCATGAGCTGCCTTTATGGTCTACATGTACCATGTCTGAAAATGCACAGGTGTCATCTGTAGAGATTATTATTTCTGGAAATGGGTTAGGACAGAGTGTCTGGTATTTTAAGCAAATTCAATTAGATCCCAAAATATAAAAATAAATTGCTGAATGGGGAACCCCTGCGGTAATAAGGTAATGCTATGAAAGCATCTCACATGGTACCTAACACTGGTGAATCTAACCTTTGAAAATCACCTAAAAATCTAGAGTTTGGAGGGTTCCCCAAAAGAAGGAGAGTGAATTTTCCAAACTATAAACAAGAGCGTTTGAAACAAAATGTTAACAAAATTTTAGAACTTATCCTTTTTGTGAGCTCTGGGAAAAAAAATCTCTGATTTTGAGAACTAATATGGGTTCACAAAAAGGAGGATTAATTGATCAACCTCATATTTTAATAGGACAGAGAATGTGAGAGACACAGCACATCTTTATTTTAACAAAGGCATTTACAAAATCTTTCAGACTCTCCTTGCATGCAAGATAGAATAAGATAGATTTATAGCTAACACAAAGAGTGGTGAATAATAAATCGATGCCTCCTTGGATGGAGACCTCCAGTGTACATCACAGGATTCTGATATTATCTCTGGTCTGTCCAATAGTTTTATCAAAGACTTAAATGAATCTACCAGTGGTGTCCAATCTGTGGCCTGTAGGCCACATGCGGCTCAG